CTCCCAAAGAAACCTCGTAAAATGTCCGATTCAAGTATTACGATTCATACTATAGCGTCTGTGGGGACAGGCGTGCTCCGAAACTCTGGTTCGATGGTGCAGGCGAACAGTACGTCAGCTGGACCTCTCAATCCAGAATGGACTCTTAGTACTGGATGCTGGAATGTGCGAGCGTCCCTGGACCCTAGCACCCAAGATCTGATGGCGCACACTCTTCATCGGTACAACGTGGATGTCTACTGCCTTTCTGAAGTCCGAATGCCCAAGTCAGGCTCTCCGTAAACCATGACTCCGGGAATACATACCTACTTCACTCCATACCACATCTGATCATACAACTTCTCTGTTGTGGCGACCACCCCCTCACAAAAACCGAATCATGCACTGCCCATGTGAAAACCAGCAACTTATCGGCAGGCTTACGTGTGACTGATTTGTCACTGTACGACCATTTCTGTCTGCCTGTACGCATGAACATCAACTGCCGACAAGCACAGTAAGGAGACTTCCTACGCGTAGCTGCAAGGGCTACATGGAGGACTCCAACGTCGTGGTCTGCTGATTGCTACCGATAACCGAAATGGCCAGATCGGACTAAGCGACTCTCCAAATAGTCATTCAGCCTATATCACGCGCCGTTGTGCGGCTGCTGGTTGGGTTCGAGTGAGAGCCCGCAAGGCACAACAGGACGAGTGAGGTCCGTAGAAAAAAAGCGGTGAGCGCCCCCATCTTGCAATGGTCATTCTGTTGGTCACTTTCAGCTTGATTCTCAATGCGACGGTTATACGGGTAGGGTGAAGTGGACTAGCCAGAGGCAGCCATTTATCCCTACATTATCACCACAAGCACCTGCTGACCCGGTATTTAAATGACGGCCATACGACTACTCATAATCACCAAATTCTGGTGGGTTAGAGGTTTCACGGCTGAGTTCATTGCCGACAGATCGATGCGTGATGACGAAAATGACAACGCCTATGGGCTACACCATGTTCCCGTTTGCACACGCCTGAAAGTTCACTTCTCATTCGCACCCAGACGGATGCCTGAAAGAGGCTCTTCTGTCATTAACCTGTGACAGTTCAGCACGGCCGATGTCCTGAAAACAGAAATCTGGGCTCGTTTTGCGACACGGGTCGAAAGAGAGGGTGGTAGCAAGCGGCCATTACTTGAACAACCATTCTAGGTGGCTGAGAAAATCCTCGGATTAACCCAGCGGCGCCTCAGCTACGGACGTCAGCGTATGTCCAGACGGCCCGAACCAGGTTCGCAACAATTCTTACCGCCAACTGCAAGAAATGACACCAATATCGAACGGAGACGGCCGCAAAAACTATTGGGCTGAACTAACCAAGTTCGTAGAGCAGGACTAAAACTTCGATGACGCTCGAGAACTATTTGCCCCGTTAGTGGAAGGTCCTCTACACTGAGCTACGCGTTTAGCGATGCAAACAGCAGTCCCATTGCTGAACATTCGGCATTGACGCTAGCACTTCCGCTACTCACTCTTCTCGGCGGCAGTTTTGCCTCTCTCTCGAGCTTGTGCAGTGTCATGTGACCCCTTCTCAAGGCGAATTCTGACGCAATACGGAGGCTGCACTACAACAAGGTGCCCCGAGAGGACTCTATTTCCACTTAAATCTACAAGTCTTGTGTCTAAACCGCCAGCCTGACTCCATAAAGTGGTTGAGCAAGCATGGAAGGAGGAGATACTTCCTGATCACGCGGCATCCTTATACCTGTTTTTACGAAGGAGGTTAAGACGCAGACCACGACATAAACCTCATCAACGTAGCTGCAGAGGTATTTGCCGTCGTCACTCATATGCAGTTTCAAAGTACACGTAACTGCGGAGGGAGACCAGGCTGGATTTCCAATTGGATGCGGATGTGCCGACCCGATAGTAATATTGTGGCAAACTCTTGAATCCCGAAATGCCTGCCAGCAAAGGACGACTACCTATCTTGTTGATTTCGTCCACAGAGAGTTCCTGTGGCGAATAATTTAAGTAAACAGCAGGTCGACAGAACTATCGTCATGGTAGGGGCCTATAATTGTCCTACCACCGAGTAAATTCCGGGCATAGCAATTTCCTTCAGACGTATATTCCATCTGGCGCTCGACAGGGCTGTACTCCGCCGCCCATTTTGTTCATGTACGTCGTTGTGTGGATCCTCAAAACGGCCCCGCACGGTTTTGACGATATGGCATCTGCATCCGGACCCCGGTTGACTGATTTTGACGATGTCGCCCTGCTAGACCCCAACCTTAGTGACCTACAGTCTGTGACGTCATGGGTGGAGGGAGTTAGCAAATCGGTCAGCTTACCCATAAACCCTCGGAGAGCCGATGTGTTTTCATGCTTCATTCGCGACCATAAGGACGTACCCCTCGGAATTAATGACGGTCAACTTGAATAAGTGGATAATTTTGAATATCTGAAGGCGGGGCTGTTAGTGAATGAAGAAAGTAGGAATGGCATCGAGTTCCAAATCTGTGCTGTTCGCGAATTTTTCACAATCCTTAGGGTCTATGGTCCTGACGCGATATCTCCACTGCCACAAAGACCTGCGTGTACGGAGCATCCGTCCGACCAGTCCTCCCATACGATTGAAAATGCTGGGCTGTGCCCGTGGAAGATGATTCAAAACCGGAGGTGTCTGAGCACCGCTGCCTGAGAATCATCCCCCCAAGTACACTGACTTGGTTTCGAATGAGACAGCCCGTACTCGCTGCGACAGCTTTACAGGGGCATCTGAGGCCATTCAAGATAAACAACCAGTGTGAACACGTCCTTCGTCGTCCGCCTCACGAGTTCGGTGTTGATCTCCTCGACCCGACACCGTTGCCCACTTGGAGGCGTCGAGGAGGCCATCTCATAGGCAGACTCTGTAGTTCTTGGACCCTCTGAATTTGCCGTCACTGAAGAGAACTGGTCGAGCTCTAGAGCCTGTCAGAGGCTACAACGCCTACGGCAGATAAGGACCGTAACGCATACAGTGAATTACAAGAGCATCTGGATTGCTTGCTAGGGCTATTTAGACCTAAATCCAGTATGCACTTCACAGGCACTTGGGCCTCTTTGGTCGGAAGCAAGTACAGACGGCTATTTTAAGCCATCAGTGTGCGTCAATATCCCCTCCACGCTTGCAGTCGCATAAATCAAGCCTGGCCAGGGAACAGTGATAAGGAGGCTTCACGTCCATCGAGACCAGATGAGGGGCAGTCACTCAATCCTCCGGGCGCCTGACCGTCGCGCAGTTATAAAAAGAAACCCACCCGACAGCAGAGAAGACCATGCGAGTTTAGTCCATCCCCGTGCGTGCGAACCCTCCTGCGCAGTTGACGTCAACCACGGCCTGACGTCTGCACAACTCGCTGGTCGGATTCCTTCAAGGCCTTCCTTCAGTCCCTTCACACCGCCCCTGGCAGCTGATCAAATTTATCACTCAGCCCTAGCCACCTGTGTACTATGGACGTCTGACTTATCCCCATTCATCGATTGTGTCAATGGATTACTGGAGGTGATCGTTCGTCAACGTCTTCCCTGACTATCACCAGCAAGCACCCCATCGACCCCAACCAGTCCCTCTCAAACTTAGTGCACCCGGCCTAGCTTCGATCGAAATCGCTTTTAGTTGGCAGAAACACGCCATGAAGGCAGTGCTCGGTTCAAAAACGTGCTCAAATTCATTCTATAACCGCGTATTCCCACGCACGCTTCCGAGAACTGATATTGGGACGTACTTAACTTCGAAAGTGCACGACTACACAACAGCTGGACCGTTGTTTCCGGTTAAGTCCACCGTTGGTTCCGCAGCAAGCTGGAAGCAGGGATGGTGACCTGCGTGCGAACTAGTTTAATGTGGTAGTAGACCACCGCACTTACCTCCCCCCCCCAACCTGGGACCGGTGTTGTGACAGACTCAAGAAGACCGGGGGTGGGAGGGGGCGACACAATTACACAACGCACAACGGACTGACTGCCCACCTGTCACTGCACGCAGTCGACTACTTTAAGTCCAACACCGCGATCGGGCTCGCCCCTAGCTCGTTGAAACAGTTTTAGGTAAGACATCCTAGCGTCCAGCGCCAACCATAGTTGGGACTATGGCGACACATCACACCGATGACGCGTCCTTGACCAGATGAGGGTAGATGACCCCTCTTGAAGACACGGGAAATGGTTACAGCTTCTAACGGGGTCCCAGTTACAAATATTCGAACCTTCCATCAATTACAGGATAAAAATAGACAACTTCATCTCGCAGATTTAATGTATAAAGTTGCAAATGCACGTCCGATACACTGCGACTCATGACACGTCAGCCGGGACTCTGTTATCAAACAATAGAGGGGATATCAACCGGACTTGAACAGGAGGATAGCCACTTGGCCAAGGTAGAAATAGATAAAATGCCGTGTTTCGTGGGTGACGTAACTAAAGTGGAAGAAAGCAAGAGACGAGGCTTGTTAAAGATGCCCCTATAGGGGAAAGAAAGAGAAGCAGTCCATCAGTATTTAAAACAAATGCTGTCAAAACTGCCCGAGAGAGCGGAATAGACCGCCATCCATGCAGCAACAACAAAACAGACCATTCATAGATCTGCCGGATGAAGTCTAAACGATCATATATGATCCTTTAGGTGCTCCATTAGCGAAGAAGCTCGGGTGAACCGGAACCGTCGCGAACGGTACCAGTGACGGTCAAATCCCGCTCATGGGTACCCGCATTGGAGTTAAGATTCTTATTTTGTCCTCTAGGTTTATAAGTCATACAAGTTGGTCACACCGAAATGCGGTCACAGAAAAAGTGGTATATACCACTTTGGTATATACCATCTCTGCAATATAGCAACAATGGATTTTAATGGTCTACAGCCACTGCTAGTGACGCCTATCAATTGACAATAACGCACCGACCCTCGAGTACGAGAAAAGTATACAACCGTTTGAAAATTAGTGCAGTCTGTCATCGAACAACAGTATGACCAGTTACCTGCCGAAATTCCTCCCGACAACACAGTGCCACGTAGGCGAGTGCTTTTTGTCGAATTCCTTCTTGATGTGAGCAGCAATATCCTTTTCGATGTTGAACTTCTCTAGAGCTTGTTGTGCCGTTTCAATCGCGCTCTGCTGGACATCCTCGTCCATATCAGCATTCTTGATGACAGCCTTGCGTTCGGACATGCTGACGCACACAACTGCAGTACGAAGTGCCCCGCCAACAGCACGGTGGAATGGGCGTGGTGGCTGTTCGTTTGTCTAGGGCCTTGTCTGCCCATTGATGTCCGTCTGACGATCAGTTGACTAGTTCAGTCGATAGGCTTTTGGTCCTGATTGGTCAGGCAGATTCGCAGACGCATCCCATTGGAGCAAGTCTGAAGGGTGTTCAGACACACCAGGCCTACAGGCGTGTCCCATTGGCGCAGCTGTGTTTGCCTGTGGCTTCGTGACTAGGCCAACTCGGCCGCTGCCGGTCTAGGGTTTGCCTGTTTGGCCGTGTGCGTGTGTGCCGTAGCCGGTGGCATGCCAGTGTTCCCGCCTCACTCATCTTGTCCCCCAGTTTGAACGTCTGACTGCATAAAGGGACCTACAGCACCAGGCCGATGGCCCTACCTCCTCGTAGCCTGAGGTGTAGACCTCCGCGCCTTTGTGGGAATGTCTGGAGGACGGTACTCGCCTGACTCCATTATAATCATCAGGACACCCGTGAACGCCGCCCTCGGCTGTGCGTCTATCTTTACTCATCTTTGCTGTCAAATCCCAAAACTCATCCCCAGGTCACTGCTCTAGTGGGACGCCTCCACCCTGGCTTCCGATTACACGCACAGTCGCATGCCAGGGGGGTAGTGTGTGCGTGGCCCTGTAGTGTTTCCCCTGCCAGTAACCGTTGAGGATCCGAGGCCCTTTTTCTTTCAAATGGTTGGGGAGGCAAAGCAGGGTGGTTGTGTACAACGAAAATAACCAACTCCTACCCCTAGCTGGCACATGCAGCGGGTGCGCAGGCACTCGTGTGATATCGAATTTCTTTGGCACAACACTACGTGTTAACCTGGTTGTTTCTGTTGCGGTTTTACCGTTTTTCCTGGGTTGCATTAACGTAACGCGCAGGCCGCCCGCTGTTAGTGAGATTTCGGACAGCTGAATAAGCGGCACAAACGAGCTTGTAAATTGTGTCAGTGTAGACTACCATGCGCGCCTTAGTTGACGTGGACCTTGGGACTGGAGTATCTAAGGGACCGACTTGCGTCATTTGAATCTTACGCAGAACCTTGGCGGCACTGCCATAACTCCGCTGATACAAATTACAACCGCTCAGATGAAGTCCGACATAATCGCGATTACTTTAGTGTCTTGTACATCATTAATAGTGGACGACCGTCGGTCACTCCCTTTTGAATATGGAACGAGGGTCTGTGGACAAGAGACTGTGGATATAATTGGCGTTTGACCTTGCTAAAGACAAGAACTGAAAAGACGGGGATCTTAGCCAATTGCGATTAGTCTCTGAACTTTTGGAGAAGCTTAACGTCAACTGATATCTGTTAACTGTCACCAGGTGGTTATCTTCGCTCCCTTGTGTTCTTTAGTGGATTATACCTACTAAGGCGCCCATTCCGCCTTTGCTACTGCTGCGAACCCCTAAATCAAATAGGCGCAGTCTTCTAACAAAATATGCATACTTAATTGTGCATCTCTGCGTTTTTATTTAAGTTAGCTTGTGACTCTAAGACAAGGATATCCCCCGGTTCAAAGTGCTTATGCGAACGGTCTGCGGCTCAAAACACATTCTCGCGGCCCCGGTGATCACTGTCCTTGATCTGTGAACAACCTATCCGGTCGCTTACGAACCGCAGTCGGTGCCTACTTCGACAATGAAGCTTCATTTTGCAATGTTGAGTGCGTGCCATGCGTCATCCTGGTCGATAATTGTTCTAGAATAGGCACGAGTGAGTTCAGCTAAGGCACAGACGTAAGGACACTCGAAATGATTGTCTCAAAGGACCATGTCAACTTGCGGGTATTTTCCTGAGTATTACATGTTTTTTTTCAATTCCATGACAATAACAATAACAAGTGTTGCAACTTACCAAAACATAGAAAGGTCGCTCTGGAGATGCCAACCGACGATTTGCGGCAAACGACCTCTAGTCGTAAATCGCAAATAAGTAGCTGGTTGTGTGCAATATACGATCGCCTTATGCCGACATGTTGACGTTTTCTCCTAGAACTTACCACTTAAATTAACTACCCAAGGGGACATCAGAAAGGTGTGTGCAAAGACGTGAGCGTGGATAAGAAAATTTCCAACTGCATGCATCCTCCTTACTCTTAGAACTTATTTATTTGAAGGCTAGCCATTGCTGGGAGTTCAGAACAGGTCATGAAGCGTCTTACAGTCTAAGGCGTAAACATCGAGAAAATTTTGGTGGCTTATCAACCGCTTTCTTCCGCTACATAACGTTGATAACGAACGATGAATACACGACAGATTTATGTATTCAGAAATCAGTAGGAGGACAGCAAGATTATACTTTCGAACAAACAGTTCACTCAATGAAAGGAGGTAGCTTCTAAACGCAAATTAAATGAAGAGACATTGTAAGGTACAAGGGGGTGTATAAATCAAAGGACTAAGTATCACCAGGTTAAGGTCAGGTTTAGCACATGGTCTGGTTGCTTGCACAGTTCGTGTTCTTACCTCCATGTGGCGCAGCTATCAAGTCGCCTGTGCACCATAAGGACTCAGGAGGTTTTTTTAAGGTCGACGGAGTGGAAGATCTTATGGCCTGACTTTAAAATCCATTTATGCAAGTGCTAAGCTGATCTGACTGCCAGCATATGCGTCCACAGCTATGCGTGAATACATAAACACAGTTCGAGTTGGCGTGTATAGGCAAGACATCATCCATCTCCTGAATTGGAAAAGTCTTCGTAAAATGGCCAAATATGGACCGAGCTACATTGTAAGTCCTTTAAATGGTGCATCGTAACCGCCGCTTGATCATGCTTGACATATGGTCGTCCTCAAAGGGCTTCTCAGACACGTCTGTACCGCCATTTTTTGCCGTGGATGAATGTATATGTCTGAATGGAACGGGCTATATAACCAATTTTAACTCCGGTTGTTATGAGACAGATGAATTCTCAATCTGGTGTCTCCATAGAGCAAATTTTTACATTTTGAAAGGGAGTGTTGACCAGGTATAATTTGTGTCGTACCGGCACGAATCTCATAAAATGTAGATATTGACCCTCCCACGTATTCATGCGGAAACCAGTTGTCTGATTAAACGGTCTTCCTCTCTGAGAATAGGGAATCCCGTTTATAGTTAACTTCACTTCCCTTACACAGCCCTTCCTGGTCATGATCTTTAGAAACATTTCTTCCTGATACTTCACACTTTCTTCAATTATTGTTGCCGGTTAGGTTACTTTATCTCTACAATACTGATGAGAAACGTCTACAAAAGCCCGTTGCCATACCTTTACCCTTCGACGACAGCCATATTTCAAAGCTAATCAAGCAACGGTGGCGATGTACCATTTCAAGGACTCACAGTGCAGCCCAGCTCATATTTGGCCGTCCTACAAAGACTATTCCAATAAAGGAGACGAGGGATGCCCTGTCTATACACACCATATCCAACTGTGTTTACGCAATTATATTGGGCAAACACACAGAAAACTGGCTGCCAAGTCAATTGACCACTTGCCTAAATGACTTTTAAAGTCAGAAAACAAAATTCTCCACCCTGCTGATCCGAAAAAGTCTTCTGAGTAACGACGCGTTCCAGAGAACACCTTCGTTCTTGACGCTGCCTCGGTGGCTACGGTAACGTCTCTAACAGTCCAAGGTTGGGCCAGTGACCTTGGGTATCGCACCGACCAGTCAAATCGGGAGACGGGACAAGTTACCGACTGGGCGTTTGATAAACTGGTCGGCATATGCCAATTGCGAAAGCCACACTCTTAGGTGTTCAAGCGACCTTGACCTGGGTCATGCTAACCCTGTCTTCCTGATTCGCGGCTTTCAAATCTCGTGATTCGCAGCAATCCCACCTGGCGACCTTAAATCAAGCCTACGTTCAAAAAGGAGGAATTCCTTCGGACAGTTTTCGAGAGCATTACTTGGCTTATTGACAATAAGCTCGCACTTCAATAACTATGTTACTTCAAGTTTCTCGTATCTATCGCCAGCTTTACCTTCTGACAAAGACAGAGGATAATACGGCAAGGGTCTGGTTTATGAGCAGGGTTATTTAGTCCGGGAAGCAATTGTGCCAAAAGAAAATGATTGGCGATATTTGCTTGTGCGTGCCAGAGAAATAAATAAAAAGACCTAGCGGTGGCCTTTGCGTGAGGATGTTCAAGATGCTTGAAGGCAGTAAACAGAATAAAGGTACGACAATACAATACCTTTTTGGCAATACCTGCACAGGGACATGGAATGCATTTACTACTATCATTAAATGGCAAAATAGAGTCTCCTTTTAATTGGTCGCAATATTGACGATTAACATTTGTGAAACCAGGAAACTCTTAGAGGTTCAGCCGTTTTGCTCAGCACAAATGCAACCTGGAGTAAGAAACCTCGGGCACAAACCATTCCCTTGCCGATAATACATTTAAAACAGATAAGCAGAGGCTTCTTTCCCATGCCGTATTCTTATGGACAAAACGAGCTGTATTTTACAAAAAATTCTTCGGTTAGGCCGATACTTTAAAGAGTATATGCAGTTCTTACGTCGCCGTATGGGTAGTTGAACTCGTTTCCTGATTAACATACATGAAACTGCGCAGTTATTTTGCTTACATGTGCAGAATTTAGCACTGACCCCTCTGTCTACAGGAATCTGCTGTGCTCCGGCTGTTACCGCTCAGAGTGGTTTGGTCAATACACGTTTGTAATGCACAACGACCTGTGGGAAGCGTCGGCTTGTAACCTTACCCGTCAGAATGCTGAAATACTTGCTGAATGAAGTCAACAGTCATTCTCGAAAATAACCTCGATGTCTACAAGCCATTTGCCTTCAGACAGGTAAAAAAGCGTGTCTACGAGGTCATTAGTGAGGATACGAGCCACCTAGAATATCGCGCCCTTATCATGTACTTATTTTTGTGTTTTGATGAGACGTGGATGAGTTAATAGTCATCAAGTGTCGAACGGCTTGGAAATGAGTGAC